TGGGGCTGGGGGTGTGGGGGTCCCCCGAGACTGGGTGGCCCCTGGCGCTCGCGCCCGATCTGCGTCTCCCTCTGCACGGTTGCTGTCACTTTCCCCACTGTGAAACCGGGAACCCCCGGCTGGCTAGCCCAGCCGGCCAGGGCGCCACGCCCCCACATCAATATTCACAATAGCTTAATATTCATGAGGAGAGGGCAGGGCTTGAAGGATCAGCCCTTCCCTTTTAAAGAGACATCCGCCGCTTAGTCTCCCTTGCCAATATCAGTTCTCGGAATGGCCCAGGTTTGCAGCAAAGACGTCCAGGAGCGAAACAGGGCTCCTGGGACCTTGTTCAGGCCTTGCCAACCGCTCCCCTACACGCTGCGGTGGGAGCTGGCTGCGTTGTTTCTGTTCTTCCAGCTTTATACTAAAGCCTGAACCACCCCACCCCTCGCTCAACAAGGACCTCTGGTGGGTGGTTAGCACTGGTTGCTGTATCTCAAGGTCAGTAGTTTGAAACCACCGACAGCTCCAAGGGAAAAAGAAGAGGCTTTCTGCTTGTAAAGAGTTATAGTCACGGAATCTCACAGGAACAGCTCTACCTTGCCTTATAGGGTCGCTGTGATTTCAGAATCGACTCTTTGGTCACTCACCGTAGATCTTGCAACGGGAGACTGGTCCATTTCTTTTTCTTTATTTTGGCTAATATTCAAGTTTCTATTTATTTACTATTATTTTTTATTAGTTGGGAATTAAGACATACATCCTATCATTTCGTATTTCAATTATGTCAGGTAGAATTGTACCATTGCCATCACAATCAGTTTCCAAACATTCTTTGCCTACATGGACTCCTTGTCATCATCTCCCTTTTACTGCCCCCCCCCCCCAGCTTGGTCAGTTTCTTAAATCATATCTTTCATCTCTCAGCTCAGGGGTCTCTACCTCCAAGAAGCCTTCCCTGTCTCCTGGGGCTGGGGCAGTCAGCACCCCTGCTCCCTTAGAGAAGAACAGTATGTGCTTGCCTTGGTGGCTCATCTGTTGTGGTTTGCTCACGGGTCTCCCTGCATTGGTGTTTGAGAGCCTTCTGGGCAAGGCCTATATATAACCTCCCTGTGGGTGACAGGGCTGGCGGGCGGGACGGCAGAGAGGAGGAGAAGACCTCTCCTCTCATCAATCACTAAGTCTCCCTGATAATTCAGCAGAGCCCCTCCTGGGTGGTATAAACTGTCAGCTGCTGGACCCCTAGCGGGAAAGCTGGCAGAGGTCCGTGGGGGGTGGGGGGTAGGGGTGGGTTATGTGTGCCCAT